GGGGGGATCTAAATTAAGTGCATTTTACTTAAGTAAAATTATCTGCCAGTGTGGTAATAAAAATAATCTTAATGCAAATGGAAAACAAGATTATTCGTAGTCTACTACTATGTGCAAATTTACAGAAGCTCCACCCTCCAATGTGACACAAGGTTAAATACGACGTGAATGATTAACGACTTAGGTAGTGTAGGCAGTAACGCGTTGGGCGCGGAGAACTAGCTTGTGACGTGATTGATCTCACTTTTCCCATCACATATCACATTATAGAATTTATTTTCAATAAAAATGAAGAAAATGTTCTAAAAGTGGAAGTACAGTGCCTAATGAGTGTTTAATAATGATAAAAGTATTTATAATTTTGTTATTAATAATGTTATTATTGCATCCGGTTAATGTACAACAATACTGAGGTGCAAACAGTATGTATCCGCCAGTATAAAGTATAAATAGCATCTAATTATTATTTACACTTATTGCAAAGAACTGCTACTTTTACATGGTAAATATAATATATCAATATTTTCACTATAGTGTAAATAGCATCTAGAGCTATTTGCACTTAGCCTACTGTAAATAGGATCTATCGCTAAGAAAGTATGCTAATTCCACTTAGTGTAAATAGCCGCTGCCGTATTTTTCTTACCCTATTGGCAGATCATTTGTAAAATAAGAAAAATGTACTTCAATTATTATTATTATTTTAAATTTTTTTGCCCGTGGGATAACATGAAAATGAATAGCCTAGTTTAATAACCTACCGTTCTGCCAGTTTTCACCTGTGATATTATAACAGTGATAAGAATTAAACTTGTATTGACTCTGAAGTAGGCGGACGTCTTTTTGGCGGGAGCTGTTGCCATGGTTAATCGTAATATCGGAGCTCCATTGATCATGGCTTTTCATAGTTGTGGTGCACGCGCTAAACTCAGAGTCAACCTACTCAAGAGTCGATTGAACTAACTCAATTCAGCTGTTCTGAAACCGAAAACTCAGAGTTTCCCATCTCAGAGTAAGCCAACTCAGAGTTCAAGTTTTAACTCAGGGTTGGTTGAACCTCCTTATTGAAACGGGCCCCAGGTGTCATCTTTCTATAAAACGCTTACTGTTGACATTTAAAAAATTATCTCAGTTTTGAAAACATGAAATATAGTTGGATTAAAGTGTAAATTTACTATAGGTGCACACCTCATATGTGGTTGATAAGCATGGTGATTTCCTTCACATTTCTATTAACGCACATTAATGCAGTAAAATACAGACCTAAAGGCACAACTTGGTTTTGTTCTTTTGGTAAAAACTTTATTTTTCATGGTAAAGTTGACATTTGCATGGAATTTCTCACCTCTGAGCAGACCAGAGTTGTCCACTGGTCCAGGAAACACGTTCTGGCTGCCCATCACATATATGTCCCAGCTGTCAAAACCCACATATTTCTTCCACTTCTTGAACCAGCTACTGTCCACCAAATACCTGCAGGAACCAACTCCAGATTAGGGCTGTCATGAAAGACTTTTCACTACACTATTATAGTTTCCAAAATAATTCGCAATAACAATATACAACCCCAATTCCAAAGAAGTTGGGATATTTTGTAAAATGCAATAAAATTAAGAATCTGTGATTTGTTAATTCTCTTTAACTTTTATTTAATTGACAAAAGTACACAGAAAAGATTTCCAAAGTTTTCACTGACCAATGTAAATGTATTTTGTAAATATGAACAAATTTCGATTTTGACGGCTGCAACACGCTCCAAAAAAGTTGGGAAGGAGGCATGTTTAACACTGCGTCACATCAACCTTCCTTTTAAATTACAAGGTTTCATTGTTTGGGAATTGAGGATACTAATTGTTAAAGTTTTGCAAGCAACATTTTTGTCCAGTCTCGCTTGATACAAGACTTCAGAAGCTCAGCAGTCTGTGATCGTCGTTGTCTGATTCTCCTTTACATGACTGGTCATACATTTTCAATAGGAGAC